TAAATAATATAAAATTTATTTTTTTAATATTTTAAATAACTGTATGACTTATTATTATTTTGTTAATTTATATGAAATTATTTGCTTTTTATGTTGATGAAATGCATCGAAGAAAGTAGGCATTATAATATTCTATGATCCTCTCTCCTTCAATCGACTCATCCAACTGCTCTCAACAGGAAATAATATTAGAAATAAGGCGTTGCACAGAAAAGCATGATAAGAATGAGATTCTTCACATGGACTAACAAACATAAAATTTTTGAAAATGATATAATTTAATTGATTGAAAATTTTTTATATTTCTTTATCTCAAATTATATATATATATTCTAAGTTTTAACTCAAACTTAGTTAAAAAAAAAAAAACACTAAGGTTATGTTTAATAAGTGAAAATAATTATTTTTTTTGGAAAACTATAAAAATAAGTTAAATTTATATATTTTTTAAGAAATTAAGAATAATTAAACTTTTATATTTTTTAATATATCAAATGGTTAATTACTAGATATGTTAAAAATTTGAATTCTTGAACTTGATCCCAAACAATGTTTTTTAAATAATGAGTATTAATTTAACTAAATTTTTATAAATAAAAATAATTAAACCTTCATATTGATAAGTTTATTTACTAAATTAATAGATAAATAAAAAAAATATGTCTTTTTTTCTTTTCTTCAAAGGAATATGTATTCTATAATTTTTTGTTAACATGGAAAAATAGATATTAAAGCTTAATATTTCTTACCTTGCGATGAAAATTTTTTAAATTTCACTTATTTTTATAATTTAATTAAAGAAAAAAAACCACCGCGGTCAGCCAAACAACGCCTAAACTTTAGTCTTCTATGGTGAACTCGTGATGTTGAATAAGACACCACTCGAGATTTATGGTCTTGGTTCCGATAAGAATGAAAAAGTGATGAACTTTACTACGACACCCTCAAGATACACAAACTTAGTGTCCTGTTGCTGAAGCCTATTACCTTGAAGATAATAAGCATCGTTTTCCACAAATGTCAGAGTCACATATACCCAAAGAAAAAAAACAAAACAAACCCCACCGTCTAATAATTAGCCATAAATTATTAAATGTGGAAGAAGCACAATCATGTTCAAAAAAAGGGAAAAAAGAAAAAAAGTTTAAAGGAATAATCAATAGTGCATCACATAACAATCATAACGAATAATGGCATCCCCAGTCTTGTTATCAAGCCATTGAGTCCTTGCCTGAACATACCCTCTTGCAAACCGGAAAAGTCCACTTCCTCCGACCACCGGCATCTCCCTCACCTCCGCAAACACTGGGTTCCTTCCCAGGATTGTAATCGTGCTTCCATTGTATTTCCCTTCCATGAAAGCAAAATTCATGGCCATCAACAGCCCGACTCCCTCCTGCGAAGCAGAGGAGTAAAACCCTTGTGCCTTTCCCACCATCTTGGAACTCAATTTTGGCCCCAGCGTCAGGGGATTGTCGATCATGCTGATCAACCCAAAAAAAGTTGACGAATTGGTCACCGGCTGGACAACTGGGATTGAACTGGGGTTGCGGCCGCTGACTATGTCGTGCCAGTAGAGACGGAAGTGACTGATTTTTTCTTTCTTCACACCTAATAGCTTCCTGTCCATGCTTCTAACAAAGGTATCATAATCCCCTATGGCTAAATTTATGGTGAAGAAAGAGAGGATGAAGATGATGGTGACTTGGGTAGCGAAAATTGGGAAGATTCTAGCCATGGAAGGACTTAGGAAGGAACTCTAGCTAACACCTCTGTAACGCACAAAACTGCATTTCTTCAGTTATATTAGGAAAATGGGATGAAGAGAAACCTCCTAGAAGTACACTGGTTTTCCAATAAGGCCATCAAAATGGCCAAAATCATGGAATGGTTGTTGGCATGGAATAAACTAGTCAATCCTGCATAGTGCATCTTTCAATATATTTTTTTGAAACTTTAATTGAAATATCATGATAATATTGGAAGACACGATTGGCGTGCTTGGGAACTTTTTATCGAGTAAATGTGTAAATAAAGATTTTAATTTTATATATTTTTTATTTAAAAATATTAACTTTGTTATTTTTTAAATAAGAATGTCAATTTTTAATTTTTTTTATTTAAGGATGTCAATTTTTAATTTTTTCTATTTAAGGATTAATGAGTGATGATGCTAATGTCAGCTAACATATTTTTTAGGTTAAATATCGAAATTGATCCCTCAACTTTTATTTTTTAACCAATTCATCTTTGAACTTCAGCAAGTATCGAAAACATTCTTCAACTTCAATTAATAAAATTATTTCTTAATTCATGGAAGAATTAATTAACTTTTATTTAATTTTATTAAATGATAGGTGAGACTAATTAAATGGGAAAATATATTAATTGTTTTAATTTTTAAATATAAATAAAGTAAAATTAAGAATTAAAGTAGTCTTTAAATTATTTAAAATTAAAAAAATTCACATAATCATTTTTTACATGATGGATTTTTCACCTAATATTAAAATGTAAAATAGTCAATCACTTAGCGAAAAAATTAGCTACATCAACATTTAATTGACGGAAAGACGAAATTGAAAATTAAAGTTGAAGGATGTTTTTGGTACTTTCTGAAGTTTAAGGATAAATTGGTTCAAAAATAAAAATTGAGGGACCAATTCAAATATTTAACCTAAAAAAATATGTTAACTAAAGTCAGCATCACAACCAATTAATCCTTAAATAGAAAAAGTTGAAAGTTGACATTCTTAAATAGAAAAAGTTGAAAGTTGATATCTTTAAATAGAAAAAAATTGAAAATTGAAATCGTTATTTAGAAAAAAAAAATTAAAAGTTGACATTTTTATTTAGAAAATGACAAAATTAACATATTTAAATAAAAAAAATATAAAATTAAAATCCTTATTTACACATTTACTCGAACTTTGTTGGTCTTTGTTTGATTGGTGGAGTATTATATGCTTTAATTATAGTCGTAGTTTAAACTTTAAAGATTGTATATGGACATAATTGGTCTTAACTTATACGCATAACAAAACTCATTTAATCAGGAATTCAGAATCTTGTCTTACAAATAACATTTTACAATAAATATAAATTATTAAATGACTAAATATATAGTGATTCATACCAATTATTTTTTTAAAAAAAGTACGTTACAATTATGTCACATAAGATCATTATACAGTGCAGCCCATCTATTTTTGAAGTGTGATTACTCTTACAAAGTTTGGATGGGCTGTTTCTAAGTGGTGGGGTGTGCTTTCTGTATACCCTGATTCAATCCATGATTTGTGTCTACAATTTTTCTATGGAATGTTCAACAAAATAAGTACAGAAAGTAGGATCCCTAATCTTTGGTGTAGTGTTATGGGCTATCTGGATGGCGAGGATTGGAATCATTTTTAGAGAAGAATGGATGGATGAAGGTAGAGACGTAGAGTATTTGGTTTCATACAAGTCAAGTCGTTGGTGTGGCTAAAAGGATGAAGAACAGAATTTAGCCCTTTCATTTAGTAATTGGGTCCAGTTCCTTTATTTGCATTTTGAAAGGCATAGGATTTAATATCCATGGAAAGTGATGGTGTTTGATTGTTTGTATAAAGAATATCCATGTAAAGAGTCGAGCTACCCTTTGTATCTCTTTCATAAATTTATTTTGCAGATACAAAAATGCAAGATTATTATAATTAAAGTAAGGAATCTTGCACCGATTAGTTGAAAAATAATTAAAAAATACTCTCTATAGATAAATATTCAATTTAAGTTAAATGTTTATATCGTATTTAAAAGTTTACTTGCTTTTTAATTATAAATAAATTATTTCCCACGAGAAAAGTTATAATTTTTTGTAAATGTTAGTTGCGATAATCATATTATAATCAGTGAACCTAATATTTTATTAGATGTTGTTTAATGTTGTTGAAGGGATAAAAGAAAAATCATTAATATACCCCTGTCTGGAGGGAAGAATGTGATCACTTTCCAGTTTCCCCAGCCCTGCAAAAATTTGTCAAATGAGGCGTAAGAGAGAGGGAAAATAGAGCTCATTACTTCATGCTTCATAGTTCTCACTCCTATTTTTTTTTAGGAAAAAAAATTAAAATCCTTAGAAGATGTTTTTGTTTTTTTGTTTTTTTGTTTTTTTTTTTTCACGAGTTATTAATTTAATAAATTATAAGATTATACTATATCTTTCACTTTGATTTTAGAAGAAAATGAGATAGGGACTACCGAATTAGAACAAATAATTATGAGATTAAAATATTGTATTTTGCAGATCTATGTTTTAGGGAGTACTGTATTATTTTGCATTTGTGGATTGCACGAGTTATGGGAGTAGTTAAACTACTTTCTGTTTTTAGATTAAAATCAATTTTTGATTTTCACAAAATAATTAATCTAATAAATTAGAAGATTATTGATTTTATTAAATTTATTTATTTATTTTTTAGTGCATAAACTCAATGATCATTGCATTGGAAACCAGACCAAACGAGGCAAGAGAAACACTCCATTCTAAAAACACCAAAGTCGGCATTGCAATATAGAGATTAATGTATACGTGTGTCCGCTAACAAGAGTGAATCAACTCAATCAAGTTAATATTCATTAATTTTAAAATTTTAATTTAAAATTAAAGTTAAAAATTTAAATATCAGTAAGTTAAAATAGTTAATCTCCTGTTATGCAAAAGGGAAAAAAAATGTAAATATGTATCCTAACATTCAACTTGATAGGAAAGAAATAAAGGCTCCACCAATGACCAACGCATGGCGTCAATGATAGCTTCAACAAGGAATTTTATTTTTATTTTTATTTTTGTGTACACCAAACAATTTTTTTTCCCCTAAATTGGCACAGGTAATCCGTTTAGCTTTTCTGATTTTCGTCTTCATTTCCCTTCCCCACTGAACCCAAGTACAGGGGATTTTACATACTAGGGCTAGGCCCCATATCCTGGGCCTCACGCAGAAGTAGCCCAGTCCAGTTTTAGAAGATGCAGAGAAGAAGTCATAAGAATGGTTTAGGTTGATTTTTGCTAGTTCCACCTCAATCAACGAGTTATAGGTTATGCTTTCGATTATTCGGATTGGGCTGCAAAACCCTGTCCAATATATGATAACAGCAGGAATGCATTTCCAGGATCATGATTTATATCCAGTGGGGTGCGTTTGGAACTTAGAAATTGGCATTGGTACGTAGTCAACACATGAGGGCGGTATTTTTGGGCCCTTTGTGTACTTTGTTTGATGCTATGATTGTATGCTTTGGCGACGCAGAGATTGAGTTGTTTATGGATCTGAGTATCTTTTGTACTCAATTAGCAAAATTTTTTAATTGTTAAATAATAATAACAAAGCAAGCCTGGTCAACAATCTGGTTTTTTTCAGTGTGGTCTATATGGCTGTGGAGAAATGCATTGATTTTCAAGGGAGAAACACAACGTATTGAACAAGTTATTGACCACATCAAAGCCCACTCTTACACATGGATCAAAGCAAGATTGACCCCAGACCTGCCCCATTCAATCTGGTTTAACAATCCAAAGGAAGCCTGTAGGATACATGCAAAGTAATCTTCTTTTGTTTTGGGATATGGCTCTGTGACTCCAAATCCTAACCGTTGGCTCTTTTTGTAAGTATGTTATAATGGGTTGAGGTACCCCTTGTACCTCCAAAATAATATTTTTCTTTGCTGATAAAAAAAATAAATAAATCAAGTTAACCTCATGCATGCTCAAAATCTCAAAAAAAAAAAAAAAAAGGCAAAGAGAGTTATAGATAGAAAAAGAATAGACAAACAAATAAGAGCTTGAGATTTAATGTCTTAATTATATATCGCATGTTGTATATCTGATTATTAGAAGCATTTTTAAAAAATATATATATATAAAGAGAAAGCATGAGGGGGAGAAAGGAAGAAAGTTGAAGAGGATGATAAAACTGCGCACACAGTGGCGTAGATAGGAGAAATTTTTCAGTGCAATAGGATACACCAGGTCAAAGATATTCCCATCCATTGAAATGATGACGCATCATTTAAATATGACATGTCGGCTAACAGCTTTAATTAACAGAGCAATGCACTTTCAACGGAGTTAAATTAAGAGTTTAAAATGTCAAAACATTCTTCGTTAACTTTGATAAAACATTTTTCCAAATCCTTTACCCACCCAATTTAAGGATTAATTAATATGAGATCTCCAATCACGGAAACACCCATAAACTCTCTCACCAGTTCGCCAGTTCTCACCATTGTTCTCAAACTCAATCTACAATGGCAGGGCATCCGCATATATGCGGAAGACAATGGGTTGTGGTTCTAGCCTTTGCTCAACGTTAAAATTGTATTGCTTCGTTAGTTAAAGATCGTCGTCGTTGATCAGATCGATTGATCAAATAGCTTCTCCAATTGATTTTTTTCAATCTGAGATCTTAAACCGATGCCACATTTTACACGATGCTTCCAAATGATTTATTCTAATCTAATCTTTGAGATTCAAAATCCTTTTTCCTAAACTTTTTTTTTTTTTTGCTCTTATAAATTGATTTTGGTTGTGAATTGTGATGATCAAAATCTAACGGTAGAAGTGTGAGATCTTTCGCCAATGAATTGTCAGAGGAGGCGATGAGAGTGATGTGGGATATCATGTTTAGGCATTTTAAACTCTGACCCCGTAAAAATTGAATTACTTCTTTAGTTAGAACTGTTAGTTAATGTATCATATTTAAATAACATATCATTGTTTCAGATATGGTGTTATAGAGACAATTTTTTATATTATATTTTTATATAACTTTTACATATCATTAAATGAGTAGATGCATTAATATCATGGATCCCATATGAATTAAAAAAATCAATCATTTAAATGACACGTCAGATAGTACAAAAAAGTGAAACAAAAACAAAAATGTGAAACAAAAACAAAAATCATTTTTTTTGTTTCAGTAGATAAGGATATCACTGACTTGATATTCTTATTGCACTAAAGAATTTTTCACTTTTAAAGAATATCTTATTAGTTAAGAATTTAAATTTTTATGTCAAAATTTTAAATTTAGGTCTAATTAAAGAAAGGTAGAGAAAAAATAATTATTTTTTATTATATAACTCATAATTTCGATATACCAAAAAAATATTATAATTTTAAATTAATATATATTTGTGGCTTGTACCCTTATCTATAAATCCTGGTTCCGCTATTGTGTACATGCGTGTAACATGTTTACTATATTATTGGAGTCTTCGCTTTATGGCTTGTGCCTTGCTTATAAATATTGGCTTCGCTACTGTGCGCATGCGTGTAACATGTTTAGTTTATCCTTTGGAGTCTTCTCTTACTTTGGAGTTTGGATGCCCTTTATTCTCACCTTTGCTTGCTTTGATAATTATTTCTTTGCTTCAAAACTTGGAAAATTCTAAGACATTTAGGGAAAACCCAATGAAAAGGAATATCAACATTCGTGAATTTATGATGCAAGGATGATAATTTTTTGCCTAATTAAGGAGTCCAACTTCTTGATTTTCCAATAAAAGGATTGACTAGATGGAACATTGACATAACTAAAAAAAAAGTTGCATGCTCTTATTTGGTGTAGGTGTTGGAGAATAATCAATTGTTATGTTCTCTAATTACATTAAAAAAAAAAAGAAAAAAATTATTCATATACAAATTTTACATTTTACATTTATACAAAATTTTGATCATTCATCGCTTTATTTTTAATTATTGAGATTTATTATAACTTTTTAAATAAAAAAGATAAATTATTTTTAATAAATATTAATAGAGTAAAGATCAACATATATATAAATTTTACGTATTACACTTATATAAAATTTTGACCATTGATATCTATTTTCAATAGTTGCGATTTATCATAACTTTTTAAATTAAAAAAATTATCTTTAATAAATATGAATAAATCTCAATTATTGAAAGTAATAAAGAAATGAATAATTAAGATTTTGTATAAATATAGTGTATAAAACTTAAGTGTAAATTAATTAATCCTAACAATTGAAAGTTTAGAGATGAATAGTTGAAATCTTGTATAAATATAAATGTAAAATTTATGTATAAATAGATATTTACTAAAATAAAAGTATTTTAATTATACATAATAACAATTATTAATAATGAAAAACTTGTTAGGGTTGATTCAAGTAGTAAAATTAAAATTCAACTATGTTTAAAAATGTTTGAAAATATAAGTTGAAGTTTTTATATTATCATTTTGATGCAAAGAGTTTCAGTGAAGCACATAACTGATACTTTGAAGGTAAAATTTGCTTAGTGCCTCTAAATGCGGGCGATCTGCAAGCGTTAGAGTCGAATCAAAAGCCCTAATACTCATGTCATCCGAGAAGAAAATATCAATTATCAATTATTTGTGCAAAGTTAAAGTAAACACTAATAATATTTTTGCTGATGAAATAAAAGTGAAAGACCCTAAAAAAAAAAATTAGTTAGTGTGAAAACCAAGGACATGCATGTGCTAGAAGATTATAGGGTTCTTTGAAAATTATGGATCAAAGATTGTTCAGATTGTTCGAGGCTGCAACAATGGGAGATGTTGCAGAATTAAAGGCTTTGCAAAATGAGGATAAACTTATTCTCAGGAGAGTGCCTTTGTCGTCTACAGCAGAAACACCACTTCATGTCGCTTCACTTGCCGGCCTTGTTGATTTTGTGAGAGAGATCATGAAACAGGTGCCTTCATTTGCGCAAGAGCTTAACAAAGATGGTTTTGCCCCAATTCACCTGGCAACGGCTGCAGGGTACTTAGAAGTAGTGAGGGAGTTTTTGAACAAGGGGGATTCCGGCCTGTGTTTGTTGACGGACAAAGCAGGGAGAACGCCAACCCACCATGCAGCTATGAGACGGAGGATCCATATCATAGATGAGCTGCTATCAGAGTGTCCTCATCAAAAAGCCATGGAGCAAGTGACTCCTAACGGTGAAACTGTTTTACACTTGACAGTGAAGCCTGTTTGAAGCATCAGAAAAGCTAGAGGATCATGAGGGGCAAGTAAATGCAAAAGATAATGAAGGTAAAACAGCTCTTGAGATTGCAAATGCCACAAATCAACTTCAGGTATCAATATCATTTGCTGCAATTCTCTTTATTAATTTCTTCAGTGCAATTTTCATTTTTTGGATATTGCCATATTGAATTCAAAGAATGATACAAATACATTAATGCAAAAATTTTAGATAGTTAATTTCATAGCTAGGAGGACTGATCTTGTTTAATTAGTTTGCATATATTGATTTGATTAAAGAAATTAACCACATAATATTCTATCACCAATACCTTTTTACAACTGTAGATGTGTTCTTTCAAGCGTAGGGTATTAGATATATATATATATATATATTCATAGGCATAACATGAAGGCTTCTCTATGTTATATTTTAGATTTTGAAATTCTCTTCATTTAGAATTTTTTACAACCTTAAAAAAAAAAAAAAAAAAAAAAAAAAAAAAAAAAAAAAGAAAAAAGTGACACCATTGCAGGTGTCAGATTTAATTCAACACCAAAGTGGAGACCAGATTATTATTGTAGAGAAGGAGACACAACTTGATCGGAAAGTAGAGGACAAGCAACTTGATCTGAAAGCAAAACATGTGTGTATAATTATAAAAGATAGAGAAGTGGTACATACACTCTATAAAGTTACATATTTTGTTACATATTGACAGTTTTCATTACTCATACACTAATGGTTTTAATTATTTATACTGTTAAAACTGACGATTTTTATTACTTGTGTCATTAAAATTAACAATTTTTGTTGATGTGTAAGTGTAATTTTGCAGAGTGTATATATCATTGTCCTAAAAGATATCATTAAGGAGAGTTGGAGTATGTACTTAAAGGATAAGGACTTGCTCCCCGTTATGACCGCAATGATAGCAGCTGCAACGTTCCAAGGCGGATTGAATCCTCCGCCAATTATCTGGGAAAAAGGAGTCCATCTTGATACCATATGCATGAATATTGCTCATTTTTTCCAGAACTATAAAAGATCCCTTCGGGTTAAACATAAAAGATCCTTTTTTGTTAAAATCGTGCCCGGTTTCAAGATTCTATCGTTTCATGGTGTGCAATACCCTCCCCTTTGCTTCCTCTCTCGTCCTCATCCCTTATCACCAGCATGCACTGGTGGCACCAATAATGATAATTACTTCACTTTATACCGTGCTGTTCACTTACCTTACTGTTCTGGGCTCCATTTTTTCCAACCTTATCTGGCTTTGTATTTACCGATTATGTAGTGTCACTTAGCCTTGCTCTTCTCATTTGCAAACCATTGGTTTTAATGTTAATCAAATTACTGCAAAGACATAGAAACCAAAAAATCAAACGGTGTGTTTGGTTTAATTAAATGAAATCCACCACTGTAACAGCAGGAGAATTACAGTATGTTTAGTTTAAATGAATTCCACCATTGTTGGTGAATTCATTACTAATTGTATACGTATCACACTTGGTTTGTTAAAATAAATAAATAATAATAATAATAATTCATTTTCAATTCTATGATTTTAATTCTACATATCTTGTGTTTATTTTCATTAAAAATGTATACCGTTAACATTTAGTTTAATTTTATAGAATTAAATTCTTAAATTATAAATCATGAGATTGAGCTAAGCTAAACTAAATGTTGGTAAATTTAATTGACTTAAGAATTTAGATTTTTATGTAAGAGATCTCAAACTTGAATTTTGGAATAGATGAAGAGGGATTTAGAAGAAAAAGAGTTATCTTTTATTATGCAATTTATCATTTGATATATCAAAAATAAAATTATATTTGTGCGTTAGTATATATTTATGGCTTGTGTCCCTACCTACAAATCCTAACTCCCCCACTGTGCGCATGCATGTAACATGTTTAATATATTCTTTGGAGTCTTCTCTCACTTTTGGATACCTTTTATTTTCTTCTTTTCCCATATTCTCACCTTTGCTTGCTTTGCTAATTATTAATTTCTTTGCTTGATAGTAAGGAAATGTACATGGCTTTTAGGGGAAAACCCATTGAAAAGGAATGCCAACTTTCCTGATGAATTTATCAACCTTGGAAATATATATATATATATATATATACATACACACACACAATCATCACAAAGCACTCCTCTTGATCATACTTTGCCAACAGCCTTAGCCTGATTATAGCTAGGCTTTTTCTTTGAAAATCATGGATCAGAGATTATTCAGATTGTTTGAGGCTGCAACAATGGGAGATGTTGCAGCATTAAAGGCTTTGCAAAAAGAGGATGAACTTATTCTCATGAGAGTGTCTTTGACGCCTACAGCTGAAACACCACTTCATGTTGCTTCACTTACCGGCCATGTTGATTTTGTGAGAGAGATCATGGGGCTGGTGCCTTCATTTGCGGAAGAGCTTAACAAAGATGGCTTTGCCCCAATTCACCTGGCAACGGCTGCAGGGCACTTAGAAGTAGCCAAGGAGCTTTTGAACAAGGCTGATTCCAACTTGTGTTTGTTGAAGGACAAAGCAGGGAGAACCCCACTCCATCTTGCAGCCATCAAAGGGAGGGTCCATATATATCATAGATGAGCTGCTATCAAAGTGTCCTCAACAAAAAGCCATACAGCAAGTGACTTCTCTCGATGTAACTGTTTTACACTTGGCAGTGAAGAACAGTCAATTTGGAGCTTTCAAAGTCCTTTTTGAAGCATCAAAAAAGTTAGAGGATCATGAGGTGCGACTAAATGCAAAAGATAATGAAGGCAACACAGTCTTTGAGATGGCAAAAACCAGAGATCAACTTTAGGTATCAATATCATAGCTTCAGTTCTCTTTATTAATTCAAGTAATTACAAATTTGTTTAGTGTCAATATCCATTGTTTTGGATATTGCCATATTGAATTCAAGAATGATACAAAGTACATTAAGGTAAAAATTAATGTAAAAATTTTGGATAGTTTCATAGCTTGGACTGATCTTGCTTAATTTGAATATATTGATTTGATTAGAGAAATTAACCACATTACATTCTATCACCAGAACATTTTCAAGCTGTAAATTTATTCTTTCAAGCATAGGGTATTATATCTATCATTTTTCTATATACATTCATGGGAATACCACGAAGCCTTCTCTACATTATATTCTAGATTTGTAACACTTCAATTAGATTTTTTTACAAGCCTTACAAAAAAAAAAAAAAATTTGTGACACCATTGCAGGTGTTAGATTTCCTAATTCAACAACAAAGTGGAGACCATATTATTTATGTGAAGGACAAGACACCACTTAATCATTTGAAAGCAAGACTTTCGTATATAAAAGATCTCATGAAGGATCTCGTGAAGGAGAGTTGGGGTATGTACTTAAAGGATAAAGACTTGCTACCCGTTATGGCCGCAATGATAGCAGCTGCAACGTTCCAAACCGGATTGAATCCTCCCCAAATTGGCTGGGAAAAAGGAGTCCATCTTGATACCAAATGCATGAATATTGCTCATTTTTTCAAGAACAACATAAAAGATCCTTTTTTTGTTAAAATCGTGCCCAGCTTCAAGATTCTATGGTTTCATGGTGTGCAATACCCTTGCCTTTGCTTCCTCTCTCGTCCTCATCCCTTATCACCAGCACGCACTGGTGGCACCAATAATGATAATAATTTCACTTTACACCGTGCTGTTCAGTTACCTTATTGTTCTGGGCTCCATTTTTCCAACCGCATCTGGCTTCGTATTTACCGATTACGTAGTGTCACTTAGCCTTCTTCTTCTCGTTTGCAAACCATTGGTTGTAATGTTAACCAGATTACTGCAAAGATATAGAAGCCCAAAAAGCAAACGGCTGCTGTGTTTGGTTTAATTGAATTCCACCATTGCTGGTGAATTAATTACTAACTGTATACTTATCATGCTTGGTTTGTTAAAATAATAATAATAATAATAATTCCAATTAATTAAATTTAACAACACTTAGTTTAGCTTAGCTCAATCTCATGATTTATAATTTTAGAATTTAATTCTATAGTTTTAAATCAAACTAAATGTGAACACTATAAATTTTAAATCAAAGTAAACACAAGATATATAGAATTGAAATCATAGAATTCAAAATACTGTTATTTTCAATTCTATGATTTCAATTCTATATATCTTGTGTTTACTTTGATTTAAAATTTATAGTGTTCACATTTAGTTTGATTTAAAACTATAGAATTAAATTCTAAAATTCTAAATCATGAGATTGAGCTAAGCTAAACTAAATGTTGTTAAATTTAATTAATTGGATTTGCATTGAATTCATCTTAGTAAATGAAATAAATTCTATTTTTATTTAAAGCAAACACACTTAAAAATTTTTAAACTAAGAATTTATTTTCATATTGAATTTTTAAAAGCATTAATGATAAATTTTAATTTGCTTGTATACCAAAAATAGTTTTACTTATCGGATGGTGTTGGATCTGTGTTGTAATGAATTTAGCTTTGTTGTTTGGCAATATTTCGTGTCTCGTTAATTGACTGGAACTTTAGAAAAAAATATTGAAGAAACGGATGAGATTCAAGTGCTCTCTGTTACAAGGGTAAGTAATGTAAGTTCCCAGTTCCCACCAATGGTTCATGGAAATCAGATCAAGGGTAACACCGTTTTTGTAAGAAATTTAGATATTTGTTAGTATAATTTCTTTCCAATTCATTTTCTGACATGGAAGGGAATTAATTTAGGCAACAGCACTATATATTCCAGCTTCTTTCTTTTTTTTTTTTTTTTTTTTGCCAAAGTAGCAAGAATTATGGTTATGCTCATACAAATAAATATTAAAGTGAGATAAAAAGATTATAATTATATATTTAGTTTACCTAATTTTATTTTTTTACCAGAAATTTTATTAGTTTATAATTAGTTATTATGTTTAAAAATATTAGTGTAAACTGATTTTAAATTGTTAAGTAATAGTAAATATTAATTGTTTAATTTTATTAATCATTAGCTAATAATTACAATTATCAACTAGTTTGTGCAATCAAATCAAACATAATTATTAAATTTTAGTGTAGTCATAACCATGTCCATAATGTAGTTTACAAAACATATAAGGC